AATAACAGGCCAAAAAAGTGTTACTGGAATGTTTCACGCCTTAACAAGAACACATTTGTGGTGGTAGGAACCACAACCATGGGTGTGCTAGTTCAAAGTATCTTGCAAGGCTGTTCATGGAGGATATCCACAGGGGCAAGGCAGAAAGAGTGAAGAATTTAGCAATTGAAAATATTGAAGGTAATATTGTAAGTCAGTACAAAAGACTTTACGATTATAAAGCTGAGTTGCTGAGAACAAACCCAGGCTCTACAATTGATTTGGATACAGAAGAGCTGCCAGATGATACTGAAAAATTCTAAGGCATTTATATATGCCTGGATGCGTTTAAAAGGGTTACAAAGAAGCCTGTAAGCAAATCGTTGGCCTTGATGGATGCCACATGAAGGGACCTACCAAGGGCATTTTGTTGACTACAATTGGGATTGACCTGAATGAACAGACATACCCTATTGTATATGCTATGGTGCTGACCGAGAACACATACACCTGGACTTGGTTTGTCAGGAACCTCCAAATTGATTTGGACATCAAGGATCTAAGCAAATGGACAATCATTAGTGACAAGCAAAAGGTGTGTTTTTTCAATTATTTTTTAAAGGATTTTAGGTTTAGGACCTGTGTATTGTTTGTATGCATTTGCTAATGTATTGTTTTAGGTTTTAGGTTTACTAATCATTTGCTTTGTTGTAGGGATTGATTAAGGCAGTTAAAACATGTTTTCTCAGTGCTGAGCACAGAATGTGTGTGTGACATATGCACAACAATTTCAAAACGGCATTTGGAAGCCCAGCATTGAAAGACTTGTTGTGGGCTGCAGCTAGAGCAACTTATCCTGCAAGGTACAAGTCCATCATCGAGCAATTGAGAGTTCTAGAGCCCCAGGCTATCGATTGGTTGAGGAGCAACACAAATCCTAAGAACTGGACAAGGTCACATTTCAAGTATCATGCAAAGTGTGACGTTTTGGTGAAGAATATCTCCGAGTGCATAAAAAAGGTATTGCTTCCTGCTAGGGAAAAGGCCTTACTGGCCTTGCTAAAATGGATCTTTTTGTATCTTATGGAGAGGCACTGCCAGAAGAGGGAAGCTGCTGCTAAACCGGTTGATGTTTTCGGCCCAAAACTAAGGAAGAAGCTAGAAAAATTAAAGGAGAGAACAGGTGAGTGCTGGGCAGTGGATGCTGGAGAATGGAATTATTAAGCACTAAGAGTGGTGAACAGTTTACAGTGGATCTAAGGGCTAGAACTTGCTCGTGCAGAAGGTGGGTGTTGACAAGCATACCTTGCCATAACGTAATTGCAGCAATCGGTCAGACTAAGGAGCCCGTTGAAGCTTATTTGCACAATTATTACTCAAAGACAGCTTATGAAACTGCTTACAAGTACGTCATCCCACAAATGGTGAAAAAATGTGGAAAAAGACAAAGAAACCAGATATTACACCTCCTGACAAAATTGTTCTAGCTGGACGACCTCCAAAGTCTAGAAAGAAGACTAAGGAAGAGCTGAGGGAAATGTCTGTAAAGGAAAAATGTGATGTTGAGGTTCTGCCTCGGGTTGGCACAATTACCTGCAAGTGTTCAGAATGTAGCCTTGAAGGACGCAACAAGAAGCAGTGTAGTGGTGGAGTTGTTCCATCTGAGCAGTCTAAGAAGAGGAAGATACCCAATACCAAGGGCCAGCCTAAAAAGAAGGTACATTGTTTTTCAACATGTACAAGATGTTGTTCATTTACTTGATCTTTTTCGGTTCTCTAAATTGATGATGTTAAATTTATAGGCAAAAAGAACTGTTCAATGTCAATTGTGTAAGCAAACTGGACATTATCGAACAACATGTGCAAGCACCGTTGCTAATATGTACAGAGAAGAATTAATGAAAATATGCCACCGATAGCAGATGCAGCTGGTAATCAGGATTCGGAAGGTTTACATCTAGATTAGGGCACTGTTGTATTAGCCTTTTGTTCTTCATATTGATGTATTTTGGTTGAATACATAAAGTGGGATTGTTACGCTTTTGGTAGTTTGGTTGGATATTTAAGCTTGGATTGTTAAGCTTTAGGTATTAAGTAAGCTTTTGCTAGTTTGGTTGGTTAAGCTTGGATTGTTAAGCTTTTGGTATTAAGTAAGCTTTTGGTATTGAGTATGTCTCTTGATTGTTAAGATTTTGTCTGTTTTGTAAAGTTGAAACAATCAACTCTTTTTTCTGTTATGTGCTTTAAATTTGAAACCAAAACTTATTTGGCCCTAAACTTCTAATACCTTAACTATTTTTGTCCCATACATCAAGACCCTTAACTATTTTGGTCCTATGTATTTTACTCCTTGACTATTTTGGTCCTAAAAGTCAAAATCCTTAACTATTTTGGTCATGTGTATTTTATTCCTTGACTATTTTGGTCTTAAAAGTCAAAATCCTTAACTATTTTGGTCCTATGCGAGAAACATTTTTTGAACACTAAATTGCGTAGCAAAGTAGGAATACTCGACTTCGTTGAACCATTTTATTTAGATTTGTAACGAAATACAAAATTTTACACACAAATGCAACAAAAGATAAAGGATTACACCTTTGAAGCCATTATTAAAGAGGATTCGAAGTACACAAGATATCAATCCTTGGCTTCCTTGCAAACTAATGCAAAGGCTAAGGACCTAATCAACTTTTACGGGTTAGGAATCTCACAATAACATTCAGATTCTGATGATTCATAGTCACACTCTCCCAAAACTCCATGGACGTCATTTTCATCTTCACTGTCATCAGGATCACCATGCTTGAATGAATCATTTCTAGCAAAATAGCGTTCTTCACCTTCGTCTAGCGCATAAACTACAACTAATCTATTACCAGCCAAAGCGTCATCACACATGAGGGAAAATGCTCAATCTTCCACTATCTTATCCACTTCTTTAACCTTGCTAATAGAGTAGAATGAAACAGATCTGACAAGCCCAATCTTCCGTGCCATCTCATTTAATTGACGAATGGAAATGGTTTCAAGATCCACATTATCAAACATTCTAAATTCACCACCATAATAAACTGGATAAGTTTTTCATACAAAAGCCCATCATAGTACATTTGGATGCTCCCAAAATTGCTACTACTAACTGGTCAATACAACAGAAAAAAAGAGACATACTATTAATGCATAACAAGATGCTAGGTGGAGTACACTTGTAGTCATACTTACAATATACAGGAAGGAAGTTATCATTATGATCTTTTGGCCGTGGACTGTACATCCCGAAAGGCAGATTTGGGAAAGCTATTGCAGCAAACCTTATGTTATTTATTTGGCAGATCTGTGAATGCACCTTCACTTATTGACCTTACCTTACCATTTCTACCCATCAACAGTGGGACCCAAATATTCTTTTATGTTACCATCAAGTGTGGGACCCAGATTTGCTAGGATTTGTATTGACTAAACAACATTGGGCATTTGACAACAAAGCGTGGGACGAAAAAAGTTTCCTACACAATTGTAAGGGACGAAAAAAAGTTTCAACGGAAAGTAAGAGACGCAAAAAGTTTCAACAGAAAGTAAGTGACGAAAAAAGTTGCAGAAATTACTCATTCAGTTCCAAACTTGTACAACCAAACTCAAATCAATTTTGCCTCACAGATCGACATTCCACTACAATACATTCTTCTCGACATGGTGAAGCAAAATGCACCCCAAAATACATTAACCCCTATCGCTAAAAGCAAAAGAAGGAGTACAATATACAACAAACAACAGACATGAAAAGATACAAGAAATTTATTTGCCCACTTGCAGGTACACTTGCAAATGGGATTGCGTCATTTACTGGCCGCGACATTGCGATCACCATCATCAAACAATTTCATCATTTGTATCCACCCGCCCAACGTGCTTTCTTCTAAAATCATTTGACCCGATCCCAGCATCCTCTCCAATCGGAACGGGCTAGGTTACGAAACCATGATATGGGCAACGGTGATAAAGCCGCCCCGGATTTTTTCTACTATTTGATAGCTCAAATGTACATGTCGACCTACATTCATTGCAGATCTGTCTATCGAACCGATAATGAAACCAACTATTGCTGTTGTTGTTACTGCTGGAGGCGCCCATGGCTAGATCTGAGTTGGTTAGAAGGAAGAGAAGAAGCGTTGATGGTGAAAGAGAAAGACGGATGTGTTGACAGGGAAAGATAAAGGGTCAACGGCTGTTCTGTTTTGAGGTTTCATCTATCCATTTTTTACTAAAAGGAAAAAATTATTATTCTAATTTTAGGGTTTACTGTACCATCGTGGGTAAGAAGGTAAATGGAGCCATTTTTTTCAAATTTTGAATTTTGAAAATTTTTATATATTTTATTATTTTTACTGTTCACTGTAGTAAATAATAAAAAATGATTACTGCAGCCCCACCCGTAAAAGTGATGAAAATTTTATTTGTGATTTTTTTGATTTTTTCAAATTTATAAATATTTTTTGATTATTTTTATTATTTAATTATTATTTTATTCCTGAAATACTGGAAAACCAGAAGACCCCAAAAATACTCTCCATTTTCACGGTCAAATAGACGAAAAGTTAAGTCGGGACGTAAATAGTCGAAAAATGGCTTTTTTTTTAATGGAATAGGACGTAAATGAGCATTTCTGAATGAACAGAACGAAAATAATTATTTGACCAAATTTACAAGACGTTTTGTGCGGTTTAGTCAGTTGCATTTTATTCTTCAAGTTCGTTAATTTAGATCAAACAGCATAATTTAGATCAAACAGGAAGCAGAAGATTGAACTATAAGTGCTTATGTGCATAATTTCCCTGTTTTATCATCATCATTTATAGAAAGATCGAACTATAAATTTATTCCGTCCAATTTTAAATGGAAAAATTCGGCAAATCAAGGAAGCGGAATCGAAAAAGATAGCCCACACATTTGCTTCACCGGATGGTTTAAGAAGCAAAATTGAATAACAAAACCACAATTTTCAAAATTGGCAAAAGTCAGAGGCAAAATCAAAAAAGAAAAACGGAAAAGAACCAACATTAGTGGAGGACCATTTTATTTTGTTTTAATTACTTTTTCCTCAAATTTTCCTAATAACAATGAGTCCTCCAAATGAAAAAAGTGCTATCAACATCAAATGATACCATATAACTAAACAACAAAACACCGACTAACAAACACACCTTTGTATGCCTCCTACATAACAACTCTCCCACCTACTCAATCATCACTTCTCAGTAGCAATTTTTTCACTTGGCATTCTGAAATTGAATCGGAATTCAGAATTCTTTTTTGGGAGGGAAGAAATGAAGACTGTTTGTGTTACCGGTGGTTCAGGCTACATAGCGTCATGGCTGGTGAAATTGTTGCTCCAGCGTGGTTATACTGTGAAAGCCTCCGTTCGTGACCTCAGTTAGTCCTCTATCCAAATTTCCCACCATCCCTTTTCCTTTTATCTCTCTGATGATCTGAATTCTTTTTGGTTTTAGCTACAAATTGCAATTTTGGGATGTGGGTTGTGAATTTTGCATGAGATGGTGTTTGATTCTTTTTTTTTTTCCTTGATAGTTATTACTGATTAATGAACTGATCTTTTGAGTCTCGTGGGGTTTTATCTGTCAATATTAAATTGACAATTCTATTTCCTGAAGATACTGAATTGGGGGGAAAAAAGAAGATGCATGTTTCTGGTTTATATTTGGTCTCTAATAATGCAAGAAAGAGATTTGATGAAATGGAGCTTTGGGCAGTCACAGTGATAGGTTGCATCGGGTTGTCGGTAGAAAAACGAAATGGTTTCCGAAACAGTGCGCGTGTAGCTAATTCTGCACTTGGATTGTTTGTAAATTTGAATTCACTCCCTTTCCAATGGAGCTGCAGGGCAAACCTGTAAACTGTCTGTACTAATTCGTAGCCTTGTAGTTTTACTGATTAGCTGTTTAGAAGGTATCATGGGAAGTTTACAGGGGGTTTCTTTCTCAGAGGAGTGAGTGTCAGAAACATCCGCTTTCAAGGTGAGATTCAAAGGGAGTGAGTAAAAATCACAATCAGCATCAGTTATCTTGTGAAGTCTTTGCTAATGGAGGTTGATTTACTGAATTTGGCTGCATGAATTCACACTTCTGTTGTAGTCATGGCTATTTGGCCGTTAAGAATTCTAAACATCTGCTCTCAGTAGCCATTCATGACGGAGTCACGATCTCGTGCTGTAGTTCCTTCAATTCCCCGTGACTACAATTTCTGTTTGGTTTACTTTTAATAAGCGCACTATCAGGTTAATTCATGTCAACTATTTTACAGAGGACCCCAAGAAGGTAGAACACTTGCTTGCACTTGATGGAGCTAAGGACAGACTCCAGCTGTTTAAAGCAAATCTACTCGAAGAAGGTTCCTTTGATGCAGCAGTTGAGGGTTGTGATGGTGTCTTCCACACAGCATCTCCTTTCTACCATGCTACTGTGGATCCTGAGGTATGTTGAACCTTTTCTTCTTTTTCTGTTCCTGTTTTACTGCTGATGGTTTGAAGTTGTGCCTATTTTTTGTGTTCTTTTAAATTCGCAAATGAACCAAAAGAAATTATTTTCAAGGCTGTAGAAAATGCAGTTAAAAATTGAGAATACAGAGAGAGACTTTAGAACTGGGCGCAGTTATGTTTATAGTGTGGTTTTCTTGTCTGTTAGCTGTGTCAATTAATTTTTCAAATTACAAAGATTTAAGCTATCATATGGAATAAATCTACAGCGTTTGTTGTGCGCATTGGTACTAAATTGATACCTTCTGAGTAAACTAAAATTATTTGCTTATTATTGTTTCATTTGGGCGGCAAAATTATGTAAACACTTTACCGGTAGCAAGTGAACATAGTCATTACCATCAGGAACTTCATATCCCTTTCAGTAATGCACAGTAACATGATGAGAAAAAGAAAAGAAGAGATGACAACAATCTGGATATATGTTGATAGTACTTTTCACATTTTAAGTGTCAGAAAGCTGATTGCAGCTTTCAAGATTCCTTTTTCTGCTTATGACTGATCGAGATATTATGCATTGCTATGAGTTCTAAGATTATTTTAGGGGAGAAATCAGCAATAGGTTTTTTTGTGGTAGAAAATTGGGTATTATTCAGATTTGTGGTATCTTTTGGTTGCAAGCAAAATGAGTGGCTTTCTTGAAATGTCTAGTTCTCAGTTATCAGTTATCTTACCAGCATCGAAGGAGGAACTGTAAGATTGCATCCTGTTTTTAGTAGCAGTTCTTTTAGTTGGTCATTTCGAACCTCAACTGAAAAATCTTATTAAAGGGTATGTGTATTAATCCTAGAAAATTAGTGCTTTATATAGAAAAGCCTGGCTTCTGTCCTTTTCTTTGTCCTGATGACTTAAGTTGGTAGCATTTTATCGTGAATGGAACATGCATAAATGATGGATGGAGAGTGAATAAAACCGGAATGAAAACCCCATTTTACTTTCGCACCTTTTTTCTGTACAGTTGACAATTAGAATGATTTTTTTTGAAAAAAAAAAAATTGGAAGTCATTTTGGAGATCTTTTGACAGGCTGAATTGATCGACCCTGCTTTGAAAGGGACGCTTAATGTTCTAGGATCATGTGCAAAATCACCTTCAGTTAAAAGGGTGGTTCTGACATCCTCAATAGCTGCAGTAGCTTATAATGGCCGGCCTCGTACCCCTGATGTGATAGTTGATGAGACCTGGTGGTCCTCTCCAGATCACTGCAGAGAAAATAAGGTGTGTGACGTGTTTTTTGGTCTTTATGAGAATAAGTGTTGATTACTCAGTAATTGCAAATGTAGCCAATTCTTTGTGGTCACATTCTTTTGTCTTCAATCATACTGTGCAGTGAATCTTCAGATTTCTGAAGAGGACATAGTAGCTTCATGTGGTTTTTTGCTGCTTGAATAGCAAATGGATTGGATGTTTATGTAATTTTTACCTTGATTGAAGTATCCTTCTTCATGCCTTACTCATAATCATTTTCTACTGTGTCTTCCTTTAAAGTGACTATGTTGAAGAGCTTGCATGTTAGCTTCAGTGATGGACTTTTCATCATTTTCTAGTTTGCATGTGGTGCCAATGTTTCGTTGTTAAACTTGGTCACTTCTAGTTTGATCAGCCACGGTGTATATCATGGAAATTCTTTTGAAGCTGGTGCTGAAAATAGATTATGAGTTCATGAATAACAATAGGTCTAACGTGATGTTGCGTTGCACTTAAAAGACTTAATGAGCTCAAAAAAGCATTACAGTATGTGTCAGCATGTTATTCAAGTTTTCCCTGTGAAATTAGCAAATGCATGCACATACACAGGGTTTTCCCATCATTTTTTTATAGAGAAACATTAGTCTTAGACAGTTACTGATGAATCTTCAAGCGGCCATATTTAGGATACCACCATTTTGTATTGGTATACAATTCTTAAAGTTGATCCGCTTTCAGGGTCAAAAAATGCCAAGCACATTTTTTTTAATTGAATCTCAGAGCCTGTCACTTCTCTGCTGTAACTCACTTGTAAGATTCAAAGAGTTCATATATGTGGCCTGTAAGGAGATTGTTCTTATTTAAAAGCCTCTCTAAAATGCCCTTGTAATTTATCATAAAGTCTCCGGATAGCCATATGATTAATGCTAAATTTGTAAATTCTTTGCGATGTAAATGATGTTATTCTTTTCTATTTTGTTTTATCAGATGTGGTATGTGCTTTCCAAGACTTTAGCTGAGGATGCTGCATGGAAGTTTGTAAAAGAGAAAGGCATAGACTTGGTTGCTATAAATCCTGCTATGGTTATTGGTCCTCTGTTACAGCCAACACTTAACACAAGTTCTGCTGCTGTATTAAACTTGGTGAATGGTATTGTTTAACATTTCAGAAGATTTTCTATTATTCGAAGTTTTAGATCTAAATTTCTTCTGTTTCAGAAAAGGTGTTAACTTTCCCATAATCAATTACACTTTGAACTTGCAGATAATGCAATCTAAATGTTTGGTCCTAAAAATCACTTAATCATGATAGAACTTGAATGTAACATGTAATTGAATATAAGTTGGTAAGGATGTTTTTTCTCCTTGAAATTTAATCTTAAACGGAGAAACTACAGTGAAGTAGATCTGTCATCGTCCTCACTTGTGTTATGATGTATAACTAAAAGTAATATGATGTTTTACTCATTATTCTATATTTTGTTCTTGTCTTTGCTTTTGTTGTTTGTGTAGTGGCATAATTATTTTCGTCGGAGTTTGTTCTTGTTTGTGCTTTATCTTGTTTCATGAAGGTCCTCTAATATAATTGTGAGCAAAATCAGAATTTTAATCAAGGTCCCTTGAATTTTTATTTTTATTTTTATTATTATTATTTTTTTTGCGATATTCAATGTATAAAACTTACAGGTGCAGAAACATATCCCAATACAACATTTGGCTGGGTTGATGTTAGAGATGTTGCAACTGCTCATATTCTAGCTTTTGAAAAACCAGAGGCTAATGGAAGATACTGCCTGGTTGACAGCGTGGCTCACCAGTCAAGAGTTGTGAAGATACTGCGCGAACTTTATCCTTCCATTAAACTACCAGAAAAGTGAGTTAAACTTCCATAATGTGATTTTTTTGGCTATGAGTGGGATCCAATTTCTTCAATGAAGGTTTTTGTTTATCATGTCTCATACCCATTGATTTGGTGCTCTTATCTTTCTGTTAAGATTAGTTTGTGTTTTGAGTCTTTTGAAATTCAGGTAAGTAATCTTTATACCCATTGGAGTACTTGTTTATGTGTTCATCTTGGGCCGAAGACTGCAAATATTGAGTCACAAATTTGTCTGTGGCCCTGTTATGCGAATGCATTTTCATCTTCATCTCATTAATTTTTGTGGTTAACTGGTAAACTAAGCTTTCTGTACTTGGCTAAATTTGATACAGATTGTCTGATTATTTTTAAAATGGAAAATAGTTAGGAATTAAGCTATTGTGAATCAGAAGGTCGACCTCTACCTGTGAATGTTCCGATATACATATCAAACTTTTGGAGATAATAGGCTCTTTAGATGGATTTTTTTTACTCCCAATTCAAATTTTCTATTAAAAAATTGTTTTCGTGCAATTTTAAATAGTCTCAAATATGTATCCTTGTGGTAGTAAAGTTATTGGAGATATTGCAGAACACATAAACTCTTGGTAGCCAAAAGGTTTTTGTGGGAAAGTTCGTCAGGAACACATAGCTCAAAATCCTAATGAGACCATTTTTGTAGAAATCCTTAAAAATTGGAATAGTTGGAAGAAAATGATAATTGATCACCATCTCTTGTGGCTCTAAGATGAAGTGTTCTGGATCCTTGTGTGTTTGTGGTGTAACTGGGTGAGAACAGATTTGGAATTTTTAGATTCAGGAAGTACCTAATATGACATGGGTCAGTTTATGTGATCTGCAACAATTTGATAGATAATTGAAAGTAACTATTATTACTTAATAATATGTCTTCCGTGAAGGAACTTGGATTATCCCATCCATTCTGGCATCATCTCTGATCTTATTGTGAAGGAGATGATCTTTTTGGCTAACGAAGTAGTTAATGGTAGAGTTAATTTGACATATCAACTGATACTCGCCTAGTTTGCCACACATGTTTAATTCCATTGAATGTGAAAGAATTGTTGCAGCCAATAGCATATATTGAAATCTGATGCATTAGTGATTCAAAATTTGGTTTTCCTTGTTCATCTGCTGAATGCTTCTGTTGTAAGTATTTTCCTGGAAGTTGTTGGCCTTTCCTAAGGCTGGGGGAGAATAGAACTAATAACAGTTGGGCTAACTTTGGAGAAGAATCTTGAGCTAGGAAAAAAACATATAACTACTGAGAGAGGGGGATAAAAAGAAAATAGAAAAATGAGGATTCAAAATCTTGGGTTTTAGTAGGATTGTGTATCTGAAGAGCATAAACGTTCGGGAATTTGGGTGGTACATTCAAATCTGGTTGATATCTGAGTCTCTATTTTCTCATTAAACAGCCTTGCAAACTTGTAGATTTAACGATTTTCCACTAATCGTTTGCCACCATATCTCTTGGTGTAGGTGTGCTGATGACAAGCCATTTGTGCCGGAATACCAGGTATCCAAGGAAAAGGCGAAAAGCTTAGGCCTCGAGTTCACTCCTCTGAAACAAAGCCTTAAGGATACAGTTGAAAGCCTCAGGGAGAAGAACTTTTTGAGTGCTTCCTCTTCATTGTGAAGTGGGAAAAAAAGGACCTATTTGGTGTTACTGCCATTGTCTCATGTTGCACAAACTTCTTTATTACTGAAACCCTTCTCAATTTAGGTTGGCATAAATAAATGTACTTTACCACCGATGTGGTCATTGAAGCCTCATCTCCCTGGACCTGGATAATATATGTCATATTTTCTTTCTTTTCCGAAGGCAAGATAAATAGGTAGCAACTTGCAAGTTATGGCGAATGAGATATTGGTTCAATGGTAAAATCACCCTTGTTCTCAAGAGGAGATTATGAGTTTAAAGCCCTATTCCAACAAGAATGAGGGATGGTTCTAATTTTGCCGGCATTTCTAGAGGGCTTGTTATGACAAACCTATTCATAAATACTCAATTTTGCACCCGAGCTTGTCACCCCGAACTTGCTTAAGGTGGTTTATTTTCCACTGTGGTTTGCAGGCTATTGCAATGGGCGTGGATTTACTCATTTCTGGTGGGGTTTTTGGTGTCACCTAAAAAAACTTACAAGTTATGTAGATTAATTTGAATTCAATTTATTTTATTTTCATATTTGATGAAGATAAATGTGTTTGATGATTAACGGGGAAAAGTCTTAAAAAAATTAAAGTATTGAACTAGCTAAGTACTTAGAAATGAATATGTGTTTAGTAACTAAAATTACACTGACTAAATATGAATGATCAGTTGATAGTTAAAAAATAAGTGATAGGTTTACTATTTATTACTTATTTCTAATTACTCAGCATTTTGTTATGATTTTTTTTATTTTTTATTTTTGGCTTTTCTTTCTCTCGACTTTGTTTTTGAAATGATTTTCATTTTAGCGCTCTTATTTTCTTAAGGCAGATTAATCAACAACATTCATATTTGAACTTAAATTATGAGTACAAAGTAACATCAAGCTTGTCACTCAAATCGAAGGAATTTTTTATAGATAACTTCTGTTGAGTAACAAGATATCCACACACACACACATATATATATATATATACATATAATTTTATTTTAAGTGTCCAGATCATCTATTGACTGTAATATTTACCTTCGTTATATCCAAAAAAATATATTTCAAAATTTGTATTCTTGTTATTCATGACAATATATTAATTATGTTTTTATTACAAAATTATTTATAATTGTGATGTTATTATATTAAAATCATACGGATTATCAAATGATGTGAATTTAGTTTTCAGATTTTAGTATTATTAGACTTCATATATATATATATATATATATATATATATATACTAGAATTATTTACCAGAAAAGTCCTAAAAAATTTCTGTCAATATTCATTAGGTACTAAAAAGTTCAAATGTCCTTATATCCCCAGAAAACGAATTATTTGTATTTATTCAGTTTTTCGTCTAAAATGGAAAGATCAACCGTGAAATCACATGCTAGTCACGTGGTTTGACCGAGGGTATGGGGCGTCCAAAAAAAATAGGTCTTCAGCCTTACTCACGTGACTTGCATGTGTTTCCTGCCAAACGGGAAATTCAAAATTCAAAAAGTAATTTTTTAAATTTTGAATTTTAATTTCGCCGCCAAAATCCAGTTGCGACCACCAGTTCAACCAACGACGTCCACCAGTTCAACCGGTTCAACCACCGGCCGCCACCGGTACAACCACCTGCCGTCACTCAGGTAGTTTAGCACCGCTGCCCCAAAATCAACCACCGGTTCAACCGTCGGTTACCGGTTCAGCCTACTAACCATAAAATAGACAACTAAGCCCAATACTATGGTATTAAATTATTATGGACCAATCCAATTAATTGTTTCTAGGCCAAATCATATTTTATAAAAGCCCAATCCCTTTAACAAACCTTATTTCCTTATAACCCTACGTCCCAAATTATTTTTGTAAAGAATACGGTGCGGCTGCCAGGGGGAGAGAGAATCCAGTTTGGGGGATTAGGGCTCTTTGTTGTCGAACTCAAATCCTTGCAGATTTCTGGCAAAAAACAAGTCTTTTGGGTGAAATGTGGGTTAGGGATTGGAGGGTTTCAATTGATTTTGGGATTTTGGGGTTTCCTTTTCGGACTGAGAGGAAAGGGGATTAGGGTTTCTTGAAAGGTTTGAAATTTGAAGTGTTTGATCTAATTTATGAAGAAATGCGTTGATCTCCAATACCGCCGCCATTCCCAGAGCACTCTGTTTGCTACTGTGGCTTACCAGCGGAGTTAACGGTGGCAAAAATTTCTAATAATCAAGGGCAAAAATTCTTCGGATGCCCATGATATCATTTTGGGGAATCATGTGGATTCTTTGATTGGTTCGATTCAGAACGGTGTGTACAATGTATCCAGCTGCTGCCAGGCTTTTTTCAAGCCTTGATTAAGAGAAGGGAATAAATTGCCGAGAAGAATGATTTGTTGGCCGAGAAAGAAATGTTGTTGGCCGAGAAAGATCGAATATTGATGGAGATGGATCACAAACCGTTGGCTTTGAGGAAAAAAAAAAGATTCTACTCTCTGTTCTTGTTGCAACTTGGGCTTTTGTGTTGTTTCGGTCGAATGGAAATGTTGGCAGGGAAAGGTGAATTAGAAAGAATTTGTAGCCAAGGTTGTTTTAATTAGCAGTAATTGTAGTTGTAGTTGTAGTCAATGTTCAAGGTTTGTTTTGGTTTGGTTTAGTATTTAAGGTAAATTATGTTGTGGTTAATATTCTACTATTAGGTAAATGTATGGTGTTTGTAATCAGGCCTAAATGAATAATCGTAATTTTTGTCTTGTTTGTAATCGGGCCTAAATGAATAATCGTAATTTTTATCGTCTTTGTAATCTGGGCCTAAATGAATAATCGTAATTTTTGCCGTGTTTGTAATTGGGTCTAAAACAAATAAATAATCGTAATTTTTGTCGTGTTTGGTAATTTGTCGATGTATAATAAATAGTCTGACATTTGTGTTTTTTGCAAAGCAAAAAAATGTGAATCAAAACGCTAAGGCCTTGTTTGTTTCCTTTTTTCATCCACTTTTTTGGTCGTTGGTTTTAGGCGGGATTTTTTTCATTTTGTCGGTTTTGTGCAGGAAATGAAAAAAGGGGGCAAAAATTGTTTGGCACAAATACTCATGAAGGTAAAAAAAAAAAAAACGGGAATCTCATTTAATTTTTAGATATTAAAATTAACACCCCTACTTAATTAATTTAATTTTGTATTTGGTTATTCCACAAAACTTCACAAAAATCAGTCGAACGACCAAAAAGACATAAATATCCAGTCCATTCTCCTTTACTAAAGTTAATTATACTCCTGCCTATTAGGGGTAATTTGGTCATTTTGTCAATGGGATCGGATTTGTAACTTGATTTTTTTTTTTTTGTGTGTCTGAAGACGGGGATCGAATTTGTTGATAATTCCGATTTACATCTTTATAATATCCCATCCCCAAAAATTATGATGCTTATACAATATTAAATTTATACTCACTCCGTCCCAAGATAATTAGTGCTTTATATGACATCTCTATAGTAATATTTCTTTATTTGATTTCCTTAAAAGATACTATCTCCGTCCCAAAAAAATAGTCCACAGTGAGTTTGCAAATTTGTAGTAAAAACAGTACAAAACTCAAAACTCATTGTGGACAATGTTTTTGGGACGGAGGGAGTACTACATTTTTAATACATATTGACGAAGTGACATATATAAAACAAAAATATTACTAATATAAATTGAAAATGTGCAATGTTTAATGTCAATGTGTATTGTTATTTTAAGAATCTTTAGAATGAATTTCGATTTTCAGTGCATATTTTACATGTCATCATGATTTGTTAGAGATTGTAAATTTCATATTAATGTATTATACTTTGGCAATTTAATACTTCTGTTATATATTTACCCAATTCCGGCAATTCACTTGGTCAAACTCCGCTACCACACTTAATTAATTTAATTTTCTGGTAATTAATTAATATATACTAATTTAATTAATAAGCCTAATTTATTTATTAAAATTAAGCATACATTTAATTTTCTTAGATAATAAACATAACAAACATAATTAATTTAAATTTGTATTTGGTTATTCTGCATAACTTACAAAAAATCCGTTGAACGAACAAAAAGACATAAATATCCAATCCAATCTCTTTTACTAAAAGCAATTATACTAGAGTCCAAGTCCTGGACTCCTGCCTATTAGGGGTAATTTGGTCATTTTGTTGATGGGATCAGATTTTAACTTGATTTTGTTTTTTTTGTTTTTTTTTTTTTTTGTGAAGAGGGGGATCGGATTTGTTGATAATTCCGATTTACATCTTTATAATATCCCATCCCCAAAAATTATGATGCTTATACAATGTTAAATTTGTACTCACTACGTAAACCATATATGAGAAAATTTGTAAGACCCAAGAACAATATATGAGAAAATTTGATGGTTATCGTAAACCATCTGCATTAACATATCAGAATAGATTCCAGTGACAATTACTAGTATATCAGAATAGATTCCAGTGACAATTACTACTAATATATCAGAATAGATTCCAGTGACAATTACTACTAATAGTTCACTGAATTAAAATTCACCCTAAAATTACTAGTATGAAATCCAAACAGCAAAAGACTCTAGAAAAGTTTGAGTTCCATCAATACTAGAAAAGGGAACATAAAGATAGAATTGGAGCCTTTAGATGCAATGAGTGAATAAAGTACTTTTGCGAGGATTTGCACCATGGAAGGTTTTGGCCCTTTTCCTCCCGACGGATGTTTCCACAGCTTCCTCACCTAATATCTAAATTGCCTTTTCAGGACTACTGCCATGACCATCAGCATCAAACCTTACCTTAACAGCAGCTAGCCTTGCACTTGTTCTCTTTGGTGTTGAAGGGGCTGATTTTTTGCGGTTTTTTATGGCTTTGTTGGCAGCCGGTGAGGTTACGGCGGTAGGGAGAATTACAACATCTTCTTCATGATCATCAAGATTGCCCGACAATGTCACATTTGTTATTGTTGCTTCTGGCTTAGGGGACCTTTCATCAGCACTTGGAGTTTGATTGGAATCCTGTTCCAACTGGTCCATCTACAACAAAGCACATCATTCAGCCCATGAAAGTTGAAAGAGAACTAAATCAATAGAAGAGAACTAAAGAGAACATTACACCAAAGAACTAAAGAGAACATTACATTTTGGTGCTGCTGCTGATTGCTTGACAAACTGTCATCTGTATTGTTTGGTTCTGCCACATCATGATTTTGAACAATGAATGGTGTAGCTAGGTCAGCAGAACAAGATGGATGAAGTGTTGAAGCCACATCTGTATTGTTTGGTTCTGCCACATCATGATTTTGAATAATGAATGGTGCAGCTGGGTCAGCAGAACTAGATGGACGAAGTGTTGAAGCCAGTTCCTCCTACAAAAACACATAAAATTATGTAGTCATTTGTAAATATCTCCTTGGATCCCTAACTGAAGTACTTAATGCAGTAAGAATGATAAAAAAAAAAAAAATGCACCTCTAATAAAGTGCAATTGTTTCTGAGATGTCCAAAGTAATTGCAGTGGTCACATTTGAAATCAAGAGTGGGACAGTTGTCATTATCATGAGTATTGCTTCTGCAACGATGACATCCCTCATGCATGTATCCATCGTCAGGTGATGAATATCCACTAGGTATATAATTATCCGGTGCACCAGGGGTATTGAAAATCTGCAAATGTGTAGTTAAAACCCATATTTACATGTGATCAACCATTCTCAATAAAGAATAAAGTTCAAACTATGTTACAATTTAAAATGGTCATCAAGTTTACCTCTTCCAAGACATCATCATGAAGCCAGTTTTCAGCATCACGAACTGGACAATCTGCGATTGTGTGGTTAAGCAAGCGGCAATGGTCACATTGCACCACACTTGTATTTTGCTCAAAAATATCAACACCAACGGCTTCTTTTGATCTCTTTCTTGCCAGTTCTGGACATATGGACTTGGTATTTCCCATTTGCTTGCATTGCTTACATTTTGAGTGTGTTGTTGGTGGCCTACCCCTCCTTTTTTATTGTGCTGGCTGAGGATTGTTGATATCTCCTTCCTCAACAGGCTGTGAAACAATAAACAACAAATTCACGTAACCTTTCGTCAGTCAATCACGTCATCATTCTAAACCCCAACTTACAATAATATGACCAAAGAGACCTTTGAAATTGATTCTTACTTGGCTTGTGTCTTCATCCATCAGATTGTGTGGATTTTTCTTTGGGGGTCTCCCTTTCCTCTTCGGTATGGGTGGATTGGTATCAGCAATAGTCCCTTGGCCCTAGTGCGTAATGAAACAAAGGAAAACAGAAATGTATTAAATTTGGCAATTAAAATCGTAACAAAAACCTGAAACAAAAAAGACAGAAACCTGTTGAGCTACCTGATTTGATTGGTTAAGTAGATCTGGGTAGTGTCTCCTTATATAGCCAGTCACGTTACACTTGCTGCATTTGTTAACACCTTTACCCTTCTTTCGACTTGCTTTAATGGATCATCTCTTGTTCCTTCTCATAGGTTCATCTTTATCCTTGTTCCTGCTACTTTTGGGTCTACCAATCTTATGCTTGAATTCTGGTGGTTGCAGTTGTGGACCATCACGCTTTTTTCAAAACTTTCTACCATTTACAGGTAGTATAATGTGTGCATAAGCCCTCTCATATGCCAACTTGGAGTAAAACTTGTCAATATATTTGTCAACCTTTTCTCCATTCTGAACAATTGCACTAATTGCATGAGAACAAGGTATTCCAGTCAAATCCCACTTTCTACAAGCACATGTCTTCTCTTTCATATTAACCACGAATTGATCATCATAATCAATCGTACGGACCTCAAACAATGGACCTCCTGCATGAAGCACATTGTGGTCTGCAGCTCTCTGAGCATATTTCTCTAATGTTCTTTTAATCTTAGGCCCAACAGCAAACTCATTCCTTGCCAGCCTTCTTCTGCCCTCTCTTGGTTAAGTACACTCTAAGCCATTCTAGCATTCCAAGAATAGGAAGTTCCCTACCAGGCAGGATAGCTCTATTAAAACCCTCACTAACATTGTTGGTTAACATATCACCCCTAGCTGCTGTTCCGAAGTGTGACCTACACCAATTAGCAAAATTCAAATCATTTAACCACCTCCAAGCAGTTTCATCATGATTTTTTAGAGCTCCCATCAGCTCCTCATGCTCTTCTACATAACTTGATTTAACTATTTCAAAAAGTTTTTGTTTCAAAAGAAGTCCAGGGTGCTCCTTTTTGAAGTTTGACCACAAATGATGCACACAATGCCTGTGTGAAACTGCTGGAAGTTTGGACTTAACAACTGGCAACAAGCCCTGCCAAAGAAATACCGATTATTAGAATATAACAAGAGTTAAGGAACAGGAAAAAAACACCAAGTATCACTGTCATATATGATTATATAAGGAACAAAACATAATATAAAAAATAACACAAAAATCATCAACACTGACCTTCTGGAGGTCTGAAATTATCACCCAATCAGGTGAGTCTTCAATCTCTAAATCCTTAATTAGAAAATTAAGGAACCACTCCCATGAATTCGTGCTCTCTATCTCAGCAACAGGATAAGCTACTGGAAACATGTTGTCGTTTGCATCAAACCCAACAGCAGTCAGTAGTATTACCCCGACAATAGTTTTCAAAAACGTCCCATCTATACCAATTATTTTCCCGTAACCCTCTTTGAATCCACGTTTGCATGCTTTATAGAAAAGATATAACCTCTTAAAGGTATTAGAACGTTCAGGGTTAGGGTCCTTCATTAGCTCAAATGTGGTGCGTGGGTTCAACTTTTTCGTTTCTTCCATATAACCTTCCAACTTCGCAAACTGTTCCACAATGTTGTCTCTAACCTTTTCGAGAGCCTTTATCTTGGCCTTGTAAGCTTGTGTTCTAGAAATAGTAATCTTCTTCTCATTGAGAACTCTAAATTGCAGAGTTCCCACACTCATTCTTGGATCATGTGCAAAATCAGCAAGATACCAGTCTGAAACGATGTTGGAGTTGCAGTTCTTATTCTTCTCCCAAATCTTGTCACAAGTATGTTTATCATTAATAGTTCTGATCTCAAATGTTGGATCCTCTTTTGAGACTCTAGCCCCATACACTTCCCAGTTGCAACCCTCAACACACCGTGCGTGGACAACTTCAGTATCATTTTTTTTGAAGTGAGTACCCCTCCTTTCAACAAGAGCATGTATTCTGATGGCTTTTAACAAAATCCATTTGTCACCAAATCTTTGCGTGACTTCGAAGGTTGGGTTATGCATCTCCTTCTTAGGGTTAAACTCTCTATACCTTTTAACTTCTACATGGTCCTCATCATCAGAACCTTTAACTTCATGCAATTTATCACAAGAAGCCTGGTCAGATTCTGAATCTCCAGTCTCAGGTACATGTGCATAAGGCACAAACTCAGATGGCTTCCTCAAACTTGCCCAGCAGGAAGTATGCATGGACTCATTGGCATATTTGCAGCTGCTTTCATCATCAGAATCAGACAATCTGTAATCACTCCCTGGTTCATAATCTTCATCATCTGCATCACTCTCTTCACCTTCATCTAAATATGCTGGACGTTTGGGTTTAGGTCCTGGTAATGGATCATATTCATTGACACCTATCCTGTAGATAACAACAGCCTTACCCTTCTCTGCAGACGTGATTTCCATCAGTGATTTCAAATCTTAATATGAATTTAACCTTCTAAAGCCATCAAATTCTGCAACATTAGGGTCTATGTAAAATAGCTTGTGAGGCCTGCAGAATCCAATACAATCTATAAACGAGTTAACCTCTTCAAGCTTAAGGTCCTCAGACTTAACTTCATCAAAGTAGTCCACCTCCACTTGAAAGAAAACAAGTTTTCTAGTCTTATTTGTCACGAAACTCCCACTGTGATGAATTTTGACAGTAACAAGGCCAGATCCTTCACCTGAAACAACATAGAAATACATTAATACACAAGGGTTTAAGAGAGGTTGATTGAATAACATGTGCATGTCAACAATAAAATTATTCCTATGATACACAGTTTCAGAAATCCTAATTTCACTTAAAAAATGCATCTGATAAAAAAACATGGCACTTATGCATATGAAATAAACAAAGATGGCACCGTTATATTTTATTAACTGAAGCATACAATTTTTTATTCAATTTTGAAAATCAGTTGTCCCTTCCCAACAGTACAACATGCTCCCTGCACAACTAACACCAATCCCTAACCCACCATTTGAGTTAAACAATTCTAAACCCCAAACCCATAGTCAATACTAAATTATAACACAAAAACCAAAACAAAATATAACACAAAAATCAACACAAATTACTTACCGTATTCCGGAATTTCAGAGACTTCGTCATCAAGACGAATGTAATCCTCTCCTCTCCACATCGACGGTGACCAGAGCCAAAAGAGCGTGCTCTTGGACCTTCAGTGTTAAAGCTGACTGCAGGCGTTGTGAACTCCAATGACAAACCCGACGGCCTTCCAATTGCAACGAACAACCCTTTGCTGCAATCCTTAGAACACAAGACTTCTCTTTTTCCAGAAATTTAGCAAAGTCCTTTCGATTTAAGGAAACCCTAATTCCCAAACTCCGGTAATAAACCTGACCGCCTTTTCGATTTTGAAAACTCTAACCCCCTTTGCAGTAAAACCGAAGAGGAAACACAAAAAAAGTCAAAACCCTCCAATCCCTAACCAAGATTGAAACATGTTGTTGTTTATTTTTGCAGAATTCACCAGATCTGATGCGTTTTGAAAAATCCTAATCCCCAACCTAACACCATCTATCGTTTTCTCTCTCCCCGAACTCGATAATTCCAATGACAAAATGGACAAAATGACTTTCTTTTTTTTTAACTAATGCAGAGTTTCATCTGGAAGTTTGGGTTTTAACTTTTCCTATTAAAAAAATTGAGTCGGCCTCGAAAGTTGTTTAAGTGTTTTATGTTGCCCATGTATTGGGGTTAGGCTTAAAATAAAAATAATTGGCCCATTTGATGATTTATTGGCTATCAAACTCTACTTTTGCCCCACCGTCACGGCTGCCGGAATATTACCAGGCTGTGTCATTGCCGGTAAGTTCTCGGTTACCACCAGGAATATCACCAGTGCCATGTATTGGCCGGTAGTCAATGTTTGTTGAACCGGTGGTCAACTACCGGAATTTAGCCGTAATCGGTGGTCGACGGTCGTAACTCGTCGACAAAGTGGCCGTAACCGGTGATGGCCGGTGGTTGTACCGATGGCGGCCGGTGGTTGAACCGGTGGACGTCGTTGGTTGAACCGGTGGTCACAGCCGCATTTTGGCGACGAATGCTTGGCGGGAAACACGTGCAAGTCATGTGAGTAAGACTGAAGACCCTTTTTTTTTTTTGGACGCCTCATACCCTCGGTCAACCCACGTGACTAGCATGTGATTTCACGGTTGACCGTTCCATTTTAGACGGAAAACTGAATAAATATAAAATAATTCGCTTTCTGGGGACATAAAGACGTTTGAACTTTTTAGTATCGAGTGAATATAGACAGAAACTTTTTAGGACTTTTCTGGTAAATAATTTAAATAATTCTATATACTATTATATATACTATTATTGTCCAGCGTCCTTTGATTTTACAATAACAATTATTCAAAGAAAATTAAATCTAAACTAGCAGTTAATATTTTCATGACCCCAAAATGGCACAAAATCATAAGCCAATATGTCACCGTCCAGATACATTGAACCTGGACCCCCCACAAATATTTCAGCTAAAACAATTCTAATGGACTGTTGTTCGTTTGACTTCACGAAGAGCCAATTTATATCATCCACGCGCTTAAACTTCTGCAGCTCAAAGCAATTTCATTTTTTTTTTGGTTTTTATCATTAATTATTATTATATTTATATCATTAACTAAATTGGTTCCACATTTTCAAATTTTTTTACAGGTTAAATTATTTCATGAATATTTCTAATGTACCATTACGACTTACTTGAAATAATCATGCTAAAAAGTCTTACTATGTGAAAATTCCGTGATTTATATATATATATATATTTAATCTAAAATGACAAATAATTTAGATTATCATGATCTCAAAATTAGACCTAGGCTTAATTTAAGCATTTTTACAGAAAAAATTGACATAAAAAATTAATTTTTTTCAAAAATATGCTAAAACAGATGTTAAGTGAACTTTAAAATTGATTTTGAAAATATTTAATACAAATCTTTCAAAAAACTGATTAAAAATATTCAAATGTCACCAGAAGTATATATTTATTTATTTATAGGAATTATAAGAGTAATTTACATTTAAAATTTTGAATTTCATTTGTATGATTTTATGCTTTATTTTCATGGATGAAATCTTTTGGATGTCTCTTTTCTCTATTCAACTTGTTCTTCTTCCTTCTTTTTAAATAAATCCTTTATAAGTCTTTTATGATATGATCTGCTTATGTTGCTTTTGCTTTCACTTTTCTCTAATGTTTTAGCTTTTGAATTCTTTCTTTTCTAAAAAAAAAAATTAAAAAGAAAATTTTCCTTAAGTTATATGTTCGCTTTGACTTTGTTTGAAGATCAACAGAAGAAGAGATAAATAAAAAAAATTTTCATATCATTTACTCAACTAAAACGTACTAAATAAATACTAACAAAGGCTTAAAAGAAACAAAGAAGAAAGAGAAATGAAAGAAATAGTGAAAAAAGATAGTTAAACTCATATTAACTTGTGATATATATATATATATTAATTAAGGATAAAAGTGTAATTTTTTTATAAAAAAATTGGCAACAAAATAAGGAATTATAATACTCTATATTATTTACTGTTTTTTTTAGAAAAAAAAAGAAAAAGAAATATTTTTGTTAATTATTTGAAGAGAATACAGAAAGTCGATTACATTCTTTTGCCTTATTAAGTGATTATGAACTATTGCGAACTTATCTCTACTTACATTTTGAATGGTAAAAGAGTTGAAACAAGCTAAATAAAAATTAAAATCATCTAAATTCTAGAATGAAAATCTATTAGCGCCTTATTAGTTATTATTGATTTTTTAATATTCATATCATTTTCCAAAAGGAAAAACCATGCCTCTGGTATAACATCGCGTCTCTTCACTTTCTGATGTTGCGCGTACGTTTATTTCAAATACAAAATAAAATTAACCATAAAATGAGTCTGCGCTTATTAAAATTAAGAATCCAAGACAAAAGCAAACACTTATTGTGTCAGCCGTCAGTCCAAAGCGCACTTCAGAAAAAGAGGCAATTCCCCAGTTTGCTCCCAAATGTTTTACGGAATGTGTCATTTACTCCTTAAGTTGAAATTATAGTCAATTTGACCCCTAATAGTTTTAGTTTATTTCTTTTGTTGTGTGTGTTTGTGATAGGATGATGGGAAAAAGTAATTACTTTTCATTCCGAAAATTTTAATCCATATTGTACTAAAAGTAAAAATCTAAATTGGATATTTAATTTTAAGATTTGTTTAGATAAATCAATTTGTCATTATAAAACTCTTAGACCATCATTAGATGCATTGCATAATAATTTAATATCCTCATTAGATCTACTTATTCAACTTTCGTATGTCATTGTTTAATATGTCAACATTCAATATAAATATTCAACTCATTAGTGATTATATGAGTCAGGTCACATGATACACCAATTAGATTCATGATGATGTAAAGATTATGAACACAAAACATGAAGTACTAAACATTAGATGCACAAATATGATTTTTATTGAGATCATTTAATAAGACGTATAATCTTTAAAGGAAGTACTAAAAGTTTTCGAAATACAGTTCATATAGTAAGGGTTAAAATCTGAAAAAATTCAAGTGAAAGAGGCCCAAATGTAAATAAAGCAAACAATCAGGGCCAAAAGTGAAAAAGTATCACATTTCTCCACTTTCCCATCCCCGCTTCTATTTCCCCTACCACCCAATACTTCAACAAATATCCCCCCTGCTTTCCTCCCTTCATTTTTCACTCACCGATTAAACCCCTGAATCGCCGGACGGAATCGCTCCGACTCACCTATGACGACGTCAATTGGCGCAGCCAACGCCGCCACGGCTGCGGCCGCCGGTTTGATCGGCAGTAAAGAAGCCGCCAAGCTCCAGCTTCCGAGCTTCGGCGGCTTGAGGAGCACCGGAAATGCTGTTACGTCTTCCAATTCGCTTCTCCTCAGCAAACGGATTGGTGTTCTTCATTCGGTTTCCGCTTCTTCAATAGTTCGAGCCGTTTCTACGGTATAGTTTCTCGCTTTCGTAATTTCATTTCATTCTGCTGAATTTGAATAGTAGTTGTTTGATTGGATTGCCTCGTTGCCGTCATTTCTCGATTCGTTAAGGAGATAAAACGGCATTTTCTCCTGCTAAATTTTATTTACCTTTTAAAATGGTTTCTGCATGCGTCAATGGATGGATGTAACTTTTTGTTTTATGCGGTCAAAATCCAGTTGACTTGCCTCTTTATTCTGCTCAATTTGTTTTGGAATAATCTACTTATTAGTAAGCTTGTGTCACTGTCATTTGCATGAGTAGAAGATTTGGTCATTTAATCATTCTTTTGTATCAAATGACTCTAGTTTATTGATTTCAATTGGTTACCTTTTTAAACTTATGTTCAAGTGATGCGAAGAAGAGTGTGATATTCACTGATCTGTTATGAAACTGAAACTTAAAGAGTAGGCTAAAGAGTAGGTCTGATGATGAATTGAATCTTCTATTGTTATATACGTTTAGTACGCAAGAAAGCCTGACAGAGATTTGTTGATTGTTTTTGCAGCCTGTGAAGCCAGAGACTCAAAAAGAAACCAAGAGAAGTAAGGTTGAGATCATCAAAGAACACAGTAACTTTATCAGATATCCCCTGAATGAGGAGTTAACCACGGAGGCCCCCAACATTAATGAGTCTGCAGTACAATTGATTAAGTTTCATGGAAGCTATCAGCAGTACAATAGGGAGGAGCGTGGAGGAAGATCTTACTCGTTTATGCTTCGAACAAAAAACCCATGTGGTAAAGTTTCGAATAGGCTTTACCTTGTCATGGATGATCTTGCTGATGAGTTTGGTATTGGAACTCTTCGTTTGACTACTAGGCAAACGTTTCAGCTACATGGTGTCTTGAAAAAAGATCTCAAGACGGTCATGAGTACGATAATTAATAACATGGGATCAACACTTGGTGCTTGTGGTGATCTTAATCGTAATGTTTTGGCTCCAGCTGCTCCATACGTAAGGAAAGATTATCTCTTTGCTCAGGAAACTGCTGACAATATTGCTGCCTTGCTCACTCCACAGTCAGGATTTTACTATGATATGTGGGTGGATGGGGAGAAGGTTTTATCCGCAGAACCTCCTGAAGTTGTAAAGGCTCGGAATGATAATTCCCATGGAACAAACTTTCCCGATTCACCTGAACCTATATATGGAACTCAGTTCTTGCCAAGGAAGTTCAAAATTGCTGTTACAGTACCAACTGATAACTCAGTTGATCTTTTTACCAATGACATTGGAATTGCAGTTGTAACTGATGATGATGGAGAACCTAAGGGTTTCAATATTTATGTAAGCTTGTCTTTTATCTTTGTTTGTACAATTTATCATATTTTGCTTGTTTGAATCATTAATTCATGATTGGTCATGTTTCTGTTTTGTCAGGTTGGTGGTGGTATGGGTCGGACACACAGGTTGGAATCCACATTTCCTCGTCTGGCAGAACCTTTGGGTTATGTGCCAAAGGAGGATATACTGTATGCTGTAAAAGCTATTGTTGTTACTCAGAGAGAAAATGGAAGAAGGGATGACCGCAAGTACAGTAGAATGAAGTACTTAATTAGTTCCTGGGGCATTGAGAAGTTTAGGTCTGTTGTGGAGCAATACTATGGAAAGAAATTTGAACAAATCCATGATTTACCAGAATGGGAATTCAAGAGTTATTTGGGATGGCATGAACAGGTACATTGTTCAAATTTTCAGTTATGTTAATGATACTACTTAGTATTATCCCACCCCGCACGCACACGCACACACACACTCACACACACAATTATGGAAGAAAAACAGAAATGAAATATCCACCAAACACATATGGTTGTATCTTTCTGTTATGCCATTTGGCAAAATGTATGGTTTGTTGTTGTTTGGAATTTGCATAAAGAATATAGTTCAATCAGTCTGAAGTTTGATGGTGTTGGCGCAAGGCTTTATTGCTCTTTTAAATGCCGATTATCTGGTCTCAAATTTTATTTATCCAGCACTACTTCTGAGTTATTGATGTGTTGGGAAAAAAAATTTGTTAGGGAGATGGCGCTCTATTTTGTGGTCTTCATGTTGATAATGGTCGGGTTAAAGGGTCAATGAAGACAACACTGAGGGAAATCATTCAAAAATACAACTTGGACGTTCGTATTACACCTAACCAGAATATCATTTTGTGTGGCATCAAACGTGCTTGGAAACGCCCCATCACTACAGCTCTGGCACAGGGTGGCTTGTTGGTAAGTATAATTTATCTTTGGTAACAGATTTAATTTGAATATTTATTCCCTTGAAGCGGTCCTTTTTTTCGTTTCCAATTACCCACCCATCACACAATTCGTGACTGTTGTCTGTTCTATCTAGTCTACTTGTCAAATATTGTTAATTTGTTTTATACTGTGGCGAGAATAGTGTCAATTCACTTCCCTTCTGTTTAAGAAGAAAAGGGGAAGAGAGACAACGGAGATGGTGGAGAGGAGAAGAGGGGCAACTAGTAGGGTAAAGGGATGTGGGTATTCGTTCACCCTGAATTAACAGAATAAGCTACAACTGACATCCCAACGAGATGGAATGATCACTAGGCCAGTGCCTTTTGTTAGATAAGTTGGTCATTCTACCATTACAGTGGTGCCGAGGAGGGAGGATCATGATGCCTGTGTCATGGTTACCCTAATTGCAGCTTGGTCCTGAAGTAATTGAGAGTTATTACTGACAGGACAACAACTTGGGTAGTCAACTTAGAAATGTTACGTGGATTGTCTCTTTGTTCATCTTCACAAACATATGCATGTTATAGATATATGATTGTTTGTAATTTGATTTAAGGGTTTCTGTAATTTATCCGATGCTTTTGTATTTTTATTTTTATTTTTTATTTTGGGTGGGACTCTTGTACCTGTAAGTTTCATATCTTAGTAGTTGAATATACTATGTTACATTGTTTTGGGGATGCATTTTTAAAGTTAAAATTTACAAGACATGAATAATTGATTATACTAACTACAGATTGAGGTATTGTTGCATTACTTGATGTGATTTATCTACAAAAAAAAAAAAATTAATGAATAAAAATTGTATTCTGGTGTGATTGGACCCAACGATAACTAGTAAGTAAACTATGAAAATCTGTTATGTCACCTTTGTTAAGTGGAAAACACATTTGCTTTTCTGATTTCACGAGTAAGTCTCTTTAGATGTGTTAAATTCACATGTGAATTGAGACACAGATATGCATTAAAAGTCTGGGATTCTGTTGCTTTTGTCGAACTGACTTTGTGCGAGTGAGTCATAGTTGTTTGCTAAATATTATGATATTGTTTAGTTTATATTTGCTAGATGAATTTACTTTGTGCCTTTCCCTATCTAAAGCTTCAGGTTAGGATCCAGAATTCGAACTAATATGTTTTCTTTGATTATTTTTTTTCCTCGCACAGCAACCCCGATATGTAGATCCACTCAACCTGACCTCAATGGCCTGCCCAGCTTTTCCACTATGCCCTTTGGCAATAACTGAAGCTGAGCGTGGAATACCTGACATTCTAAAGCGTGTGCGAGCTGTATTTGAAAAGGTAAAGTATTCGGATTCTGATAGTTCCAAAGTTCACAAAGATCAAATAATGTTGTTCCTGCTGAACGCTTAAAAAAAATTTCAGGTCGGTCTCAAGTACAATGAATCTGTTGTAATAAGGATTACTGGTTGCCCTAATGGATGTGCTAGGCCATACATGGCTGAACTTGGCTTTGTTGGTGATGGTCCAAATAGTTATCAGGTAATGATTAAGGCCCAGCTTTTTGCTTAACAAAATTCGTTTCAATTGTCGCCATCTGTACTTCGTACTTTAGTTGCAAAGCCAACTTGGATATATGAAATCTAAATCTGGGCCTCTTTGTTTTCTGATAGCTTTGGCTTGGAGGAAACAGCAACCAAACATCATTAGCTAAAGCCTTCATGGACAAGGTTAAGCTTCATGATCTCGAGAAAGTTCTGGAGCCCTTATTTTTTCACTGGAAAAGAAAGCGATTGTCAAAGGAATCATTTGGTGACTTCACAATCCGTTTGGTGAGCAATACCTTTCACCTTCTGAAGTTGCATTTCCCCCTCCTCTTTGCATCAAATTAACCCTTACGATCTTTGATTCATTTGCTTGCTAAGATGGGGTTTACGACACCTCTCTGTTGAGGGTGTTTGAACGTACTAAATTTCTCATCCCTGGCTATTTAAAATAATAATTTTGTCATTGTGAATTTTGCTTTCAGGGTTTTGAGAAACTTAAAGAGCTAATTGACAAATGGGAAGGAGTGCCAGAGTCCTCTTCCAGGTACAATTTGAAACTGTTCTCTGATAGGGACACTTATGAAGGTATGGATCAACTGGCAAAGCTTCAAGGTAAGTCCGCCCATCAGTTGGCAATGGAAGTTATCCGCAATTATGTTTCTTCTCAGCAAAATGGAAAGAGTGACTGAATCAATCAAGGTTAAGCTGTTAATTTTTTTGCAATGAGTGGGGGCTATTTGTCTCTTGGTACTGCTGTTAGCCTTTTTAGATTTGTTCAAATCAGTGGCAGTGTTTCTGATGTAAGAGAGTATTCAAGAGGTTCTTAGCTTGTGAGGAAGTTTTGTTTTTCGGCTGTCATCAGAAACCTATTAAGCACATGCTGATGTGTAGTGGATTTTTTTTTTTTTTTGCGGTCTTGATACATTTTTCGAAAGTTGAATGTCGTCTGATTACCTTTTTGCTCAAGTCAGAAATCTTCTTTAGTTACTGAATTTTGTAGATTTTCTTGGTCAAAATTTTTTGAAATTTTGCAATCACTTCCACGCTATCACTTTCGGGCCTCTGGTTTTGAGCTTTAGCTAAACAAACCTCAGAATTTGATGGCCACTTTCGGTAGGCTTCATTGCAAATTTTCCTCCTCGACGCGAGATCACATTTTAGTAACGGAGAAATGAACTTTATTTCTTTTTTTCAATTACATTCACGATCTCATGATTAATATTCTCGACCCAACCCACCTGCACCACAAATCCATCAGACTTTGGTAGACCTAAATATTACATTAGATTTGTATGGAGATGGAGACTATAATCTTAAATATCAGAACAGTCTGATCACCTATGAATATGATCGTGGTCATTTGTACTTGATAAATATGAAAATTATTACATGAAACGAATATATGTTTAAACACTCCATTTAGTTTGAAAAAAAAGAAAAGAAATATTATTAGCAATTATGATTTGATAATTGTTATTGTCAGCGCAAAAATTAGTTTCAATTTAAATACTCATGTAACATCAACGTCATCGTATAGCATTTGCCTTACAAAGTAATAAGGCTTTGGCATCGTTACTAGCTCTCTGCTGACTCAAGTCACAAACAATAATAATGATAATAATAATAATAATAATCATGTAAAAGGATGACTTTATTGTACTAAAGGCAATAACATCAAAGCTGGAGAATCAGGTAAAGATTAACGAGAAATTACGAATAGTTTCGATTTAAAAAGCATATTTCATCCATATTCTTTAAGCAAAAAATAAAAAAGTACGTACTATGTTAAACTGATATAGTTATAAAGCGGACTTTTATAGTTTATCTAGGGAAGAATGTCCGGTTGATGATTTTGGCAACAAATTAATGCATTTTCGCAATCAGGAATGAGATTAATGAGCACAGAGGAGAAGAAGAAGAAGGGGTTTTACATGAAATTTGCTGTTTTTTTAATTAACACCAAAATGAACCATAATTAAACATCAACAAAATATTATATCATCGACCCATAAATTACATCATCAATCTCATCATAATTATTTGTGGCAGATTTTGGCGGTTGGCATTGTGACGCAAACCGGCGCGTACTTCTTCTTAGCTTCCGTAGTTCCACGCTTCGGCTCCACCACGTCCGCCATTGCGGCTTTAGCCAAGCCGCAAGCCGCCGCCGCCGCAACGGCGAACACCAAATCCCTCCTCCCGTTTCCGGCGCCGCCGTTCTCCTCCTTGTTGTTAACAACCATTTTCTCACCTTCAGACACCCTTGAAGCCTTGACAACAAGTGCACCACGGCGGCCGGGGGCGGTGGTGGTGGGGAGTTGTTTGGAGATCACTCCGGCTGAGCCGCCGAGGAACAACGAGGCCGTCATGGTCATTGATGCCATTGCTTTTTCAAATCAAAAAAAAAAAAAAAATCTGCTTTTCTTTTTCTGCAATGGAAATTTTGTTGGCTATTCTGATAAACAAACTTAATAAGTGAAAAAGAATGAGTGCAGCAGAAGAAGTAGGATTTGTAATGGAAAAAATGTGATCCATTTTCTTATCCTAAACTGAGAATTGTGACCAGTGGATTTTTGCCATGTGCCTTTGGCTATCTTGGGTTAGGGAGATTGGTGGTTTTGGAAGCTCCTTGTGGGCCGCGTGTCGAAAGCATCAGCCTCTCTTATTTTATTTTTTTCCTATTTTTCCCCTATAATTTTATTTTTTTTATATATAAAAAAATCCTTCACACATCATTTTGTTAATCTCCTCAAGTGTCAAGCATTTTGTTATTATACAATAACCCTCGACTTCTAGCATAACCACAAGGAATGATAGTGTTCTAACTTCTGATATTGATGAAAGGAACTCAATTTTTAAGTTGCAGGGTTCAAAATGTGTTTGAAAGTGTAAAATAAAATGATCAGTCTTCGAAGTATCATTTGCTATACAATCCGAAATTTTGTTTGTTTATCGTCTTGAAATGATGTTACCAAATTATAGAAGCACAACATCTTTGGAAAATAAGTATAACTACAAATGATTTTTGGCCTGTTTGATAATGTCACTTAATGCTTAAATTTATTTGATTAAACACTTTTTTATTTGAGCTTATTTGTTTACAAAAAAATGAACCCCTTAATAAATTAAATAGTGTTGAAATTACAATAAAAAATATAAGCAATAAAAGTTAATTTATTACTTATTCCGTAATTGTTTAATGATTTCAGAATTAAATATTCAGAATTAAACGCTAATTTTTATCAAACAATTAATTGTCTACTGATTATCTTATATAGCAAAGGAGGATGATATTTCTCGAATTATGTAAGGTGTTTATTTTCATTTAGAAGCTTAGAATCGTATCACTATAGTGCTATGCCAACTAATTTAGATATTTATTTGAGGAATTGTACATTCACTATCTACTATTTTAGGGACTGTTTGTTTGGTAAAATCACTTAATGCTTAAAATTATTGGATCAAGCACTTTTTTAATTCAGCATTTTTGATAACAACAAATAAATCTCTTAATGAAATAAGTAATGCTGAAACTGTAATATAAAATATAAGCAATAAAAGTTAGCTTATTGCTTATTATGTAATTGCTTAATGAATTCAGCACTTTTAATTCAATATAAAGCAATAATTTTTATCAAACAAGTCTTTAGTTAGTTGATAAAATTAGTACTTAATTCTGAATAATAAATGTTGCATAGATTGATTTTGTTTTTAAATTCTGAATTCTTCATTTTTAAATTTTAATGAATGAAAGAAAATGCATAATTAACGAGACTTGTTTGATAAAAATGCTGATATGCATCCTGAATTGAAAATTTTACCAATTTACCCTTTAACAGATTTTTTTTGTAATTGTATTGGAAATCAATTTTTCTCCCAACTATATGGTAATCATGCTCATTATGCCTAAAACATACACTATGAATTTTTATATTTGAGAAGTAACACTTATAAAATATTTCTAAAATCTTCAAACATTTCTAAAACGTACTGGGCTAAATACAATTTATTTTTTTTGCCAAATACAAACATCACACTTATAAAACATTTCTAAAATTCTTCAAATATTTCTAAAATATATAGGGCCAAATACAAAATATTTTTTTTCCAGATACAAACATTTCTAAGATGTACAAATATATTGGGCCAGGGTCGCGCATTGCGCGACCAGACATCACTAGTATATATAGAAGGGAATCCCCTTTTTGTTGCACGGTTAAAGGCAAGTTGCAAGTTGATTTGATGACGTGACAGATTATTATTGGGTCGCTTAATCTTTTTCCCTTTAGCAGCTGGTGTGTATCAGCTTACTTGTCTTTCCTGTTGCCAATTTCCTCCTTTTTTTTGAGCTTTGGTTAGATCGTGAAGAACAGAGGTTCAGACGATAGTTTAACGGTGCCCCTTTTCTTTTCCTGATCTTCCATCGCCCCTTTTTTGTTGCGTTTTCCATATTTACGCCCTCAACTATTCCCTTCCGGTTGGCCATTACGGATTTTTCTTCCAAGTTTGAACCACAGCTTCTCTTCTCCTACCGGTTTGCCGGCACCGTTTGTTCTCGCCTCAGTTTTTCTATTGTTGCCGACCACTGGTAGTTGTGTTTTGTTGTAATTATCTTTAACTTGAAATTCATAATTAAAATCCTTTATTTGAAATTTTTTATTTCATGAGTTCGTACTTTTGGGTTTAACTGAGTATTATACTAATTTCATTATGGTTTTATTTTCCATGGGGCAATCAATTCGGGTGAATTACTTGTGTTGTATAATTGGGACTTTTGTTTGGGGGTTCTGTAAAATTTATCGTGCGAATTTATAGTTTTGGTTTATTGAGAAATTCTTTGCAGCTCATGGTTTGGTTTATGAGAAATGTTTACTGCAGAAAAGATGCATTGTAACTTTGAAATTTAGTTCCCTGTTGTGTAGCCAAACTAAAGACCGGCGAATTTGTCCAAAATATTTGACAGAAAGTTTATATCTTAATTACATGTTTAATGTGTTGAAATGTTAGATATTATGTAACAAAGACAGGATGGTCCAGCTGCGCCAGGGGTTCAAGCTTTCCCCAGCCCCTTCTCATCAGTGTTATATTACATATCGGTGTTCTCTAATTGGTCATATTAATTTTGTATTTTTGGCATGAACAAAAAAAAGAGGGGAAGAGAAAGAGTAGAGCACTTGTTATGACGGATCATTATACTTAGAAAACTGAAGATGGTATATTTCAATAGATTCTACTGTTATACATAAGTGTTGGTATGAATTCTATGAAAGAATCATCCTTTGTCATTTAGCTTCAGGTATGTTTTACCCTGTTACTAAATTGAAATGCATATGCCCTGCTACTATTCTTGTTTTTTTTTTTCTTGTAAATTTTGGAAATTCTGATTTCGGATCTTGTATTTTTCCTATGATGCATATCTGGATGCCAAGCTATCTTGTCGCTTAGGCCAGTCTATGAACTGCAATCATTCTTAAAATTTGGGGAAGCTCTTTCGTTCTGGGCAGTCATCACTTTGCATCCTGGAGAGGAAAGCGCAGTGTAGCTGTTAATTCAGAGTAATCTTAGTTCATTTTTTTTTAGAGTCTCTTTTCTCAGAATTATGTTTGTAAACGTAATGTGGTTTTCTTTAGGAATTGGTTCTTTCAACTTAGCTGATGATGGAAGTAGCGGTTTGGGATGTCTATTTCACAACAATCGAACATATATGCATCATTTTTCACCATGACTATATGATTGAAACCAAATGTTGAATCATTGACCTAATCAATGACTATGATTATGTTTTTAACCAACACCATGACTATATGACTATGTGTGCAATGTTTTGTGTTGGTTTTTGTTTTAAATTTGAAATATATTTTAATAAAAAAATTAAATTTGTGTATGTTCAAAACATTTGAACCGGATAAATTACCGCAACACACCGCACCTCGTGCGGTGCAACCTCGCTAGTACTTTACTTACATACTGATGAAGAAAAACAATCTTTAACATATCAAAATGGATATATAGATTCAACTATCTACTGGAAAAAGAAAATCATATATTGAATTCTCAAAATACATAAATATTTCTACACCACCCATCCATTGTTTTGTTACATGTAATAAGACTGAGAATTATAAAATTGTTACGGTCAAGTATTATTTTCTTTTTTCTAAAATAAACCGTCATCAAGAAAAATTGGGATTTGAACAATACTTATTAATGAATGTTAAAACCTAATCCCAACTGTTTGCATGAGAAATGATAATTATAATTATCATGAAGTAAAAAAAGGATGGAGAAGTATTTATTTTTAATTTTTTTATTTTTTTGGCATAATTCTATCACCTTTTATCTCAATATGGATCTCTATTGACACCAAAAATTGATCTTTCAAAGCTTAAACAATAATTCATCAGTTATGTTCATCCTCGTTTGTGTGATCTTTACTGGTCCCAACACACCTAGCTAGCAGGTTTGTTATCGATTTTGGGCAAATTAGTTTGATATTTAAAAGTGGGAAATTATTCATTGAAGGATGATGATCAACTTATATTACTGAAGGCTTTGATTCCGATTTAGAACCAAACTACCATTTTAAAACCTATCTAATATGTATTAAAAGGGAAAATTTGGCTAAAGGACAGTGAAGTAGGACAAATTAATAAAAAGGGTATGACCAAAAAATATTTTGTATAAAGGATAGTAATAGCTAATAACTCATTTATCAAAATTCATCAAATAAAAAATATTTTGAATTGACAATATTACCCTTATACGTTTTTATATACAAATAATAATAATAATAATAATAATAATATAATAATAATAATAATAATAATAATAATAGTAGTAGTAGTAGTAGTAGTAAAACAAAAGCCACAGTGGATCTTAGAAATCAATGAATTCGTCCCTCTCTAAATGAACCCAAAACCCACGGCAGGGCAAAGTTAAAATTTAATCTTCCTACTACACTTTTAAGTCTATTTGTAGATTCCGATCACGATGAGGATGACGATGATCATTTGTTTAGGAAAAATACTACCAGAAGAAGGTATGAAAAAAGATCCCCAATAGTAACCGACAAGAAAAAATGAACAGGAACCAAGTAATGAGGGAATTCAATTGTACAAACTAGTGCATCAGAATAAATGAAAATGAAGTCCGAGCAAGTTCTTGGAAACAAAATAATAATAATAATAAGCAGTTGATCATCTAAAGCAAAGCTCAAAACATAAAAACTCGAGCAAATTGAAGCCAAGGCAGTAAGATCCAACCTAACAGCCAATTTGACTTCGATAAGCAGAAGAAATGAAAATTCATGGTAAAAAAGGAACCAACTTTACACCTAAATAAACTAAATTAAAACAAAAGATCGCAACTTTAAACCCTAACTAAACTTAAACACAAGTATAATTCTCAGCTTCTACACCCACAGTCGATCCCCAACCCGAAAAACATAGAAACCAAATTCCAAATTACCCCTCAAATATAAATTAAAAAAAATTAAATAAAAACCCACCTCAATCACAAAAATATACCAAAAAAACCGCATCAAACCAATAAAACCAAAAGGAGGAGAAGACCATAGAGAGTACCTTCATATAAAGAGACCAAAACCCAGTAGTAACAACCCAAAAAAAGGGGAAAATTTTTCAATAACTAAAAAAAAAAGAAAATACAGGAGAAGAAGAAGGGAAGGAAAATTTTTTTTTTCAAAAGACTTGGTGACCTACAGTCACGTAAGTAATTCGAGGTAGATTTTATTAAAATGATTTAAAATTTCATCGTAAAGAATCTAAGATTTATATCCATAGAAGGCAACCATCAGTGAACGTATTCGTTTTCAACAGGGAGTGAAAAAGCTATCTTTAAAATGGAAGATCCACCAATTATGAACATAGGGATGGATAGAACCGCAAGAACCACACTTACATCAGTAAATGAATTCGTTCACAGCGATGATAGTAGGATCTGATTGCATACCGATTAGAGGGACAAAGAGAAGAGAAAACTAAAATGCATAGATTAAGAATAAGAAATAGTTATATTTACAAACAACGAGCAGATGCAGCCACCAAATTTGTCAAAACAGGAATGTACAGATTAACAAAATGAGAACCAAACAGTGATAATTAACGAATCACCCGGTAGAGATGTTTACCTTGCAACAATGGATGGGCAGATATGGAGGACGGTGGAGACGAACAAAGAATTGTAATGAAGATGAACATCACTATAAAAAATTGCCATATCCCAGGAGGTGGTATTTTCGAAAAAAGGCCGAAGGTTGCACAGGATAATCTGGCATGTATTGAATCTATAATCAACTATTTCGGGAAAGTATGAAAAACTGCTGGTTACAAAGGAGAGAGAATCACGGGGATGAATATGTGTTGAAAGCAAGATGACAAGAGAAGAAGACAAAGTTTGGAACGGTGGAAGAACATGTCAGATTCATGCATGAATTGAAATGTCTGAAATTAGGAGAAATTGGGGGAAACAAAATGACGAGTAAATGAACTCAAATTCGCTTACTGGAATTTCACGCGTGTAATGAAGAAGGGAAGAGGCTGTTGGGTATTTATCTGAAGGAGAAAATCCGACATGGAGCCCAATAAGTAAGATAAGACCCATCTGAACTCAAAAACTCAAGCTAATGGGTTCTGAGACCACCTTACTTATTAACTGATTCACATGTCCTCATGTCTCCGATGTGGGATTCATAATCCTTGTCACATGACTCTCAACATTCTCCCCCGTCATGGGCAATCTCCACATCGGGCTTCCAATTCATCTCGACAAACCCAAATCTGTACTCCACCTGAGTAACTGGGCTACCCATCCCTACGTTTCCGCTCGTAGTGGGCCTTTGACTGCCTGGATTCAATCAGATCAACTGAGATAATTTGGACTAAATCACCCACCCACTTGGCCCAACCTGGGCTCTGATACCACTGTTGGGGATTTATCTGGAGGAGAAAACTCGATACGGAGCCCAATAAGTAAGATAAGACCCATCTGAACTCAAAATCTCAAGCTAATGGGTTCTGAGACCACCTTATTTATTAACTGATTCACATGTCCTCATATCTCCGATGTGGGATTCATAATCCTTGCCACATGACTCTCAATAGAGGCGAACCAAAGTCACACGTGGGAACCATTGACCGAGAATGGTCAAACAAAAGACTTTTAGAGTGCATCCTTTCTTTAAAATTCACTTTATAATGAAATGCTTTGAAACACATTCAACTTCATGTAGTTTCCCAGCCAATCCCGTAGCACAGTTTATATAAACAAAGTTTGAATCCTGAACTTTGTATAGTTTCTCTGTCTCAAAATGATTGTAATTTTTTTGTTTATATTTTTTTGAATAACAAATAAAGCAATCATGTTGAGAAGGAGGGAGTATAAGACAAGATCAAGAAAGTGGGGGTAGTGTTTGGGTAATTGATCATATTCAAAAGCAAAAGCAATCTGAAATGTCACAAGCGATTTATTTTTTGTTGCACTGTGGTGTGGAAATTAGAGATGGAAATAGAATAAAAGTGCAGAGAAGTGATATAGATGAATTTCCAGAGTGCAAGACGAATTAAATATATATAGTTTTTGCATTTAGTATAAGAACTCCAAAAGACATTATACAATTGTTTTAAACACGTTAAAATAAATAGCAAGCGTTATATAAGAGGGCAGTGAAAGTTCAAAAGTAATAGTTTATAAATAATGAATCTAAAACTAATTTTTTACTTTCCCTCTGAATATGCTATACTAATTACTAATAGGAGTATTTACTACTTTGGCATCAGTTTGATTTGTGAAATATTTCAAATGATATGGAATATTAAAATGACCAAACACCACTCATCTCCTTGTTTGGTACTATTAATTAGAACAATAATCATATGTAATTAATTAAAATAATCAAATGTCAGCTTATTTTTTTTTACTTCACTTACTCTAGAGGTATACTACCAAACCTTTATATATATATATATATACTAGTGATGTCTGGTCGCGCAATGCGCGACCCTGGCTCATTATATCTGTAGATCTTAGAAATGTTGTATCTAGAAAAAAAATATTTTGTATATGGCCCGATAGATTTTAGAAATGTTTTATAAGTGTGATGTTTGTATTTAGCATAAAAATAAATTGTATTTGGCCCGGTACGTTTTACAAATGTTTGAAAATTTTAGAAATATTTTATAAGTGTTACTTCTTAAATATAAATAAACTTGATCAAATATATGTCTTCAAGTAAATGCTAGACAAAATATAAAAACATCCTAATAAGTTTAAATATTAGTAAGATAATTTATTGATGTTCTCCATTGGTTGTGCCAAATCTATATTTAGTTTTGGAGATTTATAATAGCTTTTGTAGTTAACTTCCTCCAACGGGTATACGCTTAATTGTTGGAACTATTTCTTCCAAAAGTTTATAGGTAGTAAAATATCAAAAATATGATTTTGAAACTAGTTAATTGTTGAAACTGGTTGATCACAAATATGAGAATGAAAATAATGTAAATTTGCATAAGTTTCAAGAAATAGTAAAAAAGAACTCACCTCACCATGGCAAATAAAAAAAAAAAAGAAGTAAAAGATAGCCCATTAAAATTTGAGATTTTTTTTTCTGTAGGTAAAAATGATGTATAAAAATACAAATAAACGTAGAAACATCATTCCTTCCCTCTCCACCTCAAATTTATAAAAGGCTTCCTCATAAATTAGTTAGAAGAAGCGACATGAACTATTTATATGATGAGAAACTAAAAAAAAGTCCAAAAACCGAATCCAAAAAAGTATATTCTTGAAACCCTGAACACAAAAAAAAAAACGTGCTTCATTTGCAAATAAAATAATAATAATAATAATAATAATAATAATAATAATAATAATAACAACAATTGGTCAACTGGGAGTATGAAATAAAATCAAAAGCAATTAAACAAAGAAAAAATACACTTCATAACTGGCCATATACGAAAAAAAACCTGAGACTCCATAATTAAAAAAAGAAAACCACTCTAATTGAATGAAACATAAAAAACAAATTTAAAAAACTACACTTTGTAATAAAAACCCAATTAATCAATTCAATCCAAACATAACTAAAATCATACAAAAATTCTAAGCTAACTAACAAAATAAGAAATCATATTATATTACCTGACAACGGCTATGGTAGCTGTAACGGATGGATGCATAAAAATAATAGTAATAACACTATTCCTGAACGGAAAAAATAAAAAATAATAAAAGTCAAACCAATGATTGGTGGAAATAAAATCATTTAAATTTTAATACCTGTAATGCCACCATCACAACGGCCGAAGCAAGATCAATGAGAATTTTTTTTTCTTCCTTTGTGTTTATATAGAGGGGTAAAGAAAATATTTTTTGAAGTTGAAATTTTATCCGATTAAAATGTAGTTGATCATCATTAATGAAAATATTGAACATACTAATAGGAAAGGAGTATATTTCACCACATACTCTTAATTGATGATTGCTGAGGAATTTATTTTTTATTAATTGTGGAGAAGGGATTGATTAGGGAGTCGATTTTCATGGAGATGGAGATGAGGATTTGGATTTTTTATGAACTCGTGTTTTTTTTGGGCGAAAAGAGGAGGTAGAGGTGAATTTGGACTGCATTTGCCTTTTAACTCTAAGAGATGTGAAAATAAAAATTTATTTTAAAAATATGACGTGGAAATGCCACATGACAAATGGTGGTGCTTTCTTTAAGTGTGGTTTTTGTTTCTAATATAGTAAGATATATATATAGATAGATACTGAAGGCATATTGGTAAAGTAGAAATTAAGAAATATATGTGGGGAAAATATTTGTTGAATTTTTTTTAAAAAAAGTACTTGAAGATAATGTGGCACGAAAGTGAATAGTGATAATATCGCAAGAGATGAATAAATATACAAAACGTACCAACACAGCAAAGACAAAATAGATCATGAAACTCTTTTTGTCGATACTCAACATTTCAAAAAAAAAAAAAAAAACAGAGAGAGAAGAAGAAGACAAACAACAATAACAACAACAACAAGCCTTTTTTCTCACTAGGTGGGATCGGCTATATGGATCATAACTCATCATCGTGTACGGTCGGTGCATAACTCCTCGAACAAATTCAAATATCTCAAATCGTTTTTTATAGTTTCTTTCCATGTTTTCATGTGACATTAACTTATTTCTTTAACCTTCTTTAATCAAAATACATAATTATCATGGATGCATGTTCATCCTTTGGGTATACCATTGGGTGCATCGTACGTACAATCTGGCAATGGCTGTCTCAAAACATATCTTTTGGGCATACCTGTTGTGTATTTTTGAGGCAGTTGAAACTTGAAAATTATCCTTACCTTCCTATTTATTAAAAAAGAATACATAATTCGCCAAGATTTGATGCTATAAACATTATACGTGAGAATTGAATAACATGTTAGTAGTTAGAACATTGTAATTCATGAGAGTAGAGCTGAATTCAATTTTCACCAATAATTCATTTGGAGAGTTTTATCCATATTTAAGTAAGAGGCTCACTAGAATGAATTTTGAAAAGAAAAAAAAAATGTGCTCCTTCCATCCCACAAAACTAGTCTAGTTTCAAAATGTACAACTTTTTTTTATTTAGTCAAAACCATCATGTACAACTCATTTTGTCCTTAAACTTCCATCTATACCATTTATGAAAAATTATTTCACCATCAAATTATGAACCTAAAATCCGGTATGAGATTTTCAATTTTGCAACTTTGGAATTTTTCTGCCAAACGTCAACGGCAAGATCCTGACTAAGGTGACTGAGTGCTGCAATCACCATGTGGCTGCTGCTGACAAGGCCGACGAGGATGGTGAGGCTGCGGCGGTGACAGAGAAGAAGAAGACGGCGGTGGCGGTGAGATCTCAAGGCTTTCGACGCTGATTTCGTCAAAGTGGATCAGGTGACAGAGAAGAAGAAAATGGCAGCGGCGGTGAGATCTCAAGGCTTTCGATGCCGATTTTGTCAAAGTGGATCAGGCGACCCCAGTTCGATCTTGAACCAGAGCTGAAAGACAAGTCTGATGTGGCGGCGGAGGCTGCGTTAGTGGCAGTGGTGGTGATGGTGGTTTCACGACGTTAAACCGGGTTGGGGTTTGGGTTCGGGTTCGTATCTCTCCCGACTACCCTCCTCCGAATGGCGACCGTTCCTTTTTCAGCCGTCCAAAAACAAAGTAACTGATCCTCCGTAAAAAAAAATTTCTTTATCAGAAAGAAAGGGTAGTTGAGTCATTTTGTCTATTTTAATTTTGACTTTTGTTAAACTAGACTTTTTTTTGGGGACAAAAATTTTAATTAAACTGAACTATTTTTGTGGAACCAAGGAAGTATTACATTATACGCATGGTGTAAATACTGGTAACTTTATAAATTTATAACTAGATTATTCTCTTGCATTGCGCTGGGTAAATCAATGGTCTCATTCTATATGAATGATAATGTGCAACAATAAAAAAATGCTGTAATGGTAAAATTGAAAGATAAAGTTATAAAGATAAATAGAGAGGCAAAACTTTACAAAAAATAAAAGGAAAAATTTGGCTAAAGGACAGTAAAATATGTCAAATTAATAAAAGAAGTATAATCAAAAAATGTTTTTTATGAACAACGGTAACTTATTTATCAAAAGTTATAAAAAATATTTATCAAAAGTTATATTTTCTTGCCATATACTTGTTTTTTATTTTTCTGGACCTTCATCCTAATTTTATCAACAGAAAACTTAACCAAATCATCATATGCTAAGAGATCAAGAAAGGTATGGTTCCATCGTTATTATTCTTGTGAGCCTCCCTCAACCCTCAATTTCTCTTCATCTCTACACTCTTCAACTTACGCAGCATATCAAACTTCGTCAATTCTTCACTCTTTTTTTTTTTTAAAAAAAAAACTGTACCAGCCCATCATAGATAATGACCTCCATGCTCCCCCCCATAATGTTCTCAATTTAAACTCATGCTTCTTTCTGATCTAAAGAAAAGCCTCATAATCATCCAATTTTCAGGAACCCACATAACTACACTTAGAAAACTAAGATAAGATGTCTTCAATCTTCGTATTAACCCTTGGTGGATGAAGTCTTCATGCGCTCTGGGGAGATGCTTAAACGAGACCCATCACCAAGTTTTCCTCCTAAGCCAGAAGAGGAAGAATACAACACCCAATACTATAGCTACAGGAGCCTATTTCCGAATCAATGCCTGTCTATTCAAATCTGTTGCGTTGTCAGCATATATGCGAGATTCCGCAGTCAATCTGCCTGCCAAATGACTTACCTGATCCAATTTATCAGCAACACCAAGAACTTCTTGTATGTTACGAGTCATAATCTGATGTACTTCATAAAGTTCATCATTTAACTTTGCAATGTTCTTCTGCGTTCTCGTGTCTTGGTAGGACTTTTTTGTTTTCTGTATAAATGTATCGAACTTTATAAATGCATAAGGTCTAGAAGCAGTTTCAATTTGACTCCCATTTACACGTTCAAATTCATTCTTGAGATCTTCAAGGTATTGAAAGGCAAGCTTCTTTGGGTAAACGTATATGTATCAGAAGCGAATGCGATCTCCGATATTAAGTTGAACTTTGGCGATGATTATGTTATCCCCTGCCTTTGAAGACGCTCGGAATGATCAGAGCTAGGGTTACGGTAATGTCCCCGGAACTTTTTCCCCAGATCGGATTCGGAGAAACGCCAAGATGCTGTATTCAGAGAGATGGTCAATTCTTCACTCAACTCAGCATTGGCATGCACTATCTCATAAAGCTCATATGGAAGGAATGAATTGGATCTCTGCCGAATGGATCCATATGCACATGTTTTAAGAGTTTTTTTCCTTAAATATACTTGCACATTAAGGACCTGGACAAAAATAAATCTTTCAGAAATTTTGTGGACAAAACTATATGCCACGGATTTCTGAAATCTGAGTTTGTGTAATGTAAATCTGACATTAAGTTAATGACAGAAATTAGTGTAATTAATGATAGTACGGATTTTTCAAATCCGAATATGCTAATAAAATATTAATTTCCGGAAAGAAAAAAAATACAAGTGTTGGAAAATTAATTTTAACTGAATTCGGATTACGGGAATCCGAATCAGATAAATACGGATTTTGAAAATCCGGTACACTTCTTCGGCTAAATACAGATTCGTGAAATCCGAAGTTGGATACAGTCGGATTTCTGAAATCCGAATATGCTCTATTTTTTGAAAACTGGGAACTCCCAGTTAGTAACCAATTCGGATTTGTGAAAGCCGAGTCCTTTACAAAATGAGAGGATTCAGATTTCTTAAATCCGAATCTTTGTCAGAACTGAAAAAAAAAATTGGACTGGTTTTAACCAGTCTAAAACCTGTTTACAGCACCAACAACAATGCAATATAGAAAAACAGAAATTTAATAGCAACAAAACAATAAACGTCATTCGATTAACAACGAAACATAACAAGTTTCAATCCAAAATCAATAAAAAAGAACTACTTTAAATGTAAAAATACATCAAAGGGCTCATTTTTTCCCTTTTCCTTTCTTAGGCGCATCCGGACTATATTTATTTGGCCCATGCCGGTTCCTGTCTTCCACCTAAAGATACATGAGTATTGAATCCTGTTGTTGATGCAGTTGGGGTTGGGATTGAGACTTTCCCATGGTGAGAAATAGGACTCCCGGTTGTGATTGAGGTTGTGGTTGCGACTCTCCACCAAATTGAGTCTCGTGTCCACCAATGTCTTCAAATTGAGTCTGGACCTGGATGTGCGAGCCTCTAGAAGAAGCCGCCTCGCCCTCTCGTGTTGACCCTCATTTTTTCTTGTGATGTCCGAGGGGAGATCACTATCTTTCTCTTTCTTCCTCCTCCAATCTTGTCTCTCGACCACGTGACAAGCCGTCATCACACTAGTCAAATAATAATTACCTACTTAATACATTTACTAACAGTAAAGTAGCAAGCAGGGTCGATCCCACAGAGAAGGAATACTAATTACCCGGTATAAATTACTCCTATTATTATCTAGATAAATGATGATCTCATATTTATAAAATTTAAAACTAAAATAAATAAATAACATAAAGGCAAATAATATTAATTCAAATAATCAGACAAAGAAAACCTAGGACATTGGGTTCACCTACCGAATATTTGGATTAGTTCAGTTCATAAGTATTTGACTTTTAACCTCCATAAATCTCACAACGATTCACCTAATTAAGAACTATTCACGCTCGTGTTATAATTCTCTTACTTAGATTAACCCTACGACTACTCTTGTGACTATAAGGATTAACAAAAGCACATTAAGTCCATTAAGAATCAAATATTGCAAAGGTTATAATCTTACTCTCGTAGCTTACAACCTAAGTTTATTATTCCTACGAACTAATACTAATCTTCCACTCTCGCTACTTCGATTAATATCTTCAGACATGCAAATAGTGGCCAATTACTTACATGAATTAAAACAAGAATAACAAATATTAATTAATGAAAAAATCAAATAATAATGAACCAAATAAACCAAATAAATTCGGTGGCTACACCCAAGCCCTAGATTAAAAGAATTCAGCCACTAAACATTATCAAAAATAATTCAACAATATTTAGAGACAAAATCCAAAAACAAAAACACCCAGATGAAGGCAAAAACCGCCAAAAACTCCCCGACGGTTGTTTAGCTTTGCGGCTGCTGCGTGTGAGGATGATGAAGTTGTTGATGATGCGTGGTACTCGGCGTGGAGGAGTTTTGTAGCGGCAGAGGAGGCTGTTGCGTGGGAGCAAGGTGGTGCTCGGCTGCTTCGGTGGTGCGGCGTGACCAGGAAGGCGGAGAAGGTGTAGCAGGGTGGCGGGGATGGTGATGGTGAAGAGTTGACGATGGTGAAGAGGAGAAAGCTGCCGCCGGTGGTTTTGGTTTCGGTGGAGGTGGGCTGAAACAGAGGTGGTGCGTGATGGAGAGTGGAGAAGAGGAAGAAAGTGGAGGTCGGCGGTTTCGTTGCAGTGGTAGGAAGCTTTTGCAGCGGCAAGGTGGAGCGACGGTGGAGAATTTTTGCAGTCGTGAGGGTTTCGGTCAAGTCCGGTCCAGTCATGTTGTAAAAATAAATCCCTAATCCTCCTTTTATAGGCTTCCGTCAAAACCTTACTTCTTGGATAGCAAGAAAACTAGTTTCCCAAATAATATCGGGATTAAAATTCTTATCCAATCCCAATCCCAAATCAGCCGCACCATCATCGTTTGTTCGGCCAATTTCCAAAAACTAAAAATAAAATTCCAAAATTGCATCATCGGCCCTCCAATTCTCTAAACTCATTAATTTCTTCCCCATCAATTGCTCCAATCTTCAATTCTTTCCCATTGAGTTGCTTTTAATTCGATTTTAGCTCAAAACTTCTACAAATCATCATTTGAGTACAATTCCTACAATTAAAGATAAAATCACATAAATAGCATATTTGTACTCAAAATATATTGCAAAAATCACAAATTAGGGATATAATAAATAGGTAAAATATAAGCATATCATATACCCCCAAACTTGAATTATTGCTTGTCCTCAAGCAATCCCAAACATTAAACAAACAAAAATATTTAATTATTTAATTTGGCGGCCTCAGAGATTCAATCACATCATATAACACAAAGATTTCGACTACCTCTAGTATGGACTACCTAACAATGCAAACCATAGCTATTTTTAGCCCCCACGCTTGTGTGTGTGTGCTTCATTTCTTAGGGGCATCACTTTACATTTAACATAGAAAACAAAAGCTCTACTGCAAATATGTCATTTTACTTTAACAACAGACTCACATTTCATATCATATTCAATGCAATGGACCACCAGACATGCTATGAAGTAGAAGGACTTATCTCACAGACAACCTATTCCCCCTCGTAACCCATTCTTCGGTCCATGCGGCTTTTCTTCAGGACTCTTTCCAACTCAGGTCACTACCCAGAACATTTTTTTCACTCCTATACATAGTGGCGCAGCAACTTAGGGAAGTCTATACATCTATTTTTCCTCACCGGGCCTGAGGACTCTCAGCTCAGGTTGCCAATTCCTCACCTCTCAAGGGGCTAGCATCAACATTGAATGCTCTTCCTTTTCTCCCTCATTAAAATTTACCTAACCTCAGAAGCATTCGCCAACACCCCTCCCCCAAACTTACTTAACACAAAGTGTCAAAGCAATAAGGTTTTTTAAGGCTGATATTGGGTTAATGCCTTGCTTTTTCTTCACAACATGATGGGTTCCACATACAAATCATATAAGTATGAGTGAATCAAACACAACTTTTCATGGCATATCTACATCAAACTTATGCAACTATATCTCACTTTAGGCTTATCCCACAGTTACGACTAAGTGCAAAAGAAACAGGGTATTCAAAGCAACATAGAAATACATAAGTTAAGCAATACAATTCAAAATAGTCTGATTCTTACATGTTATAGATAATCAAACCATCTTCATCATAGGCCTTTTTGGATTTTTCAGTTTTTTCTCAATTTTTATGGGTTTTTTTTTTAAGAAAGATAAACACAAAACGCATTCCTCTCCCCCACACTTAAAGTATACATTGCCCTCAATGTATAAAACACAAAAGGCAAGACAACCAAGTGAAAAGAAAAGAAAAGGCATAAACAAAAAGAATGAAAAGAAACGATACAACCTTGGGAATGTGAAGTGGAGGACCAGAATTGTTGAATAAATTGTTGTAACTGCCATTCAAACACACGACTAACTTCTTCAAAATTTTGGATGTTTCATTTTCAGTACCATTGGATACCAGAGTTTTGCCCTTCCAACAAACCTAATTGCAAAACTAAAGTAAATTAGAAAAACAAACCTAAAAAAAACAGATGATTAAGAAAAACCACGAAAATCCAGAAATCAAAGATCTCCAGATAATCAGGAACAAAAAACTTAACCATCAACTTATTAATGAAAGAAAAAGAAAAATAAAGCAAAATAAAGAATTGGGTTGCCTCCCAATAACCGCTTCTTTAAAGTCATGAGCCGGACTATGTGGCTGATCAATCAAGTGAAGGTTCACCCAAAGAGTACAGAACTCCTTGAGGTACCCTCTCTCCAGCAAAGTATAACTGTAATCGCTGCCCATTAACCTTGAAAGAACCATGTGCCTCATCATAAATCTCAACAGCACCATATGGAAACACCTTAGTAACCGTAAATGGTCCAGACCTTTTTGAACGGAGCTTGCCAGGAAACAACTTCAGTTGCGAGTTAAAAAGTAAAACCTTCTGAACTACTTCAAACTCCCTCTTCTGAATATGCTTATCATGCCAAAATTTAGTTTTCTC